ATATAAAAAAAAATACTTTTAATTTTTAATAAAATATTACGCGAAAAAATCCGGTTTTTATATTACGCGGTTAATATTACTTATAATTAATTATTATAAAATTAAAATTTTTTTTATTATTTTTTAAATATTTAATTTAACGTAAATAATAATTTTCGAAAAAATAATTAAATAATTTTTTTATTTCGATTTAAAATTAATTATTATTAATAATTTATTAAATAATTAATTAATTAATTATTAATTATTAATTAATAATTTATTAATTATTTTTATTTTTATTATTTACGTGATTTTTCGCATGAAATATATTTTATATAATTTAAAAATATAAAAAACGTGTTTTTAAACGGTTAAATAAAAATAATAAACGTGTAAATATATTTTTAATTTTAAAAATATTATTAATAATTAATTAATAAAATTTTAATAAATAATTATTTATTAAATATAATTTTATAATTTTAATTAATCGTAAATTCGATAAAATTTTTATTTAAATTATATATATAAATTTATTTTTAAATATAATTATATTTTTATTATAAAATTACGAAAAATCGTTTAAATATTAAATTATAAATTAATTTTTCGTTAATATTAACGATAATTTGTATTAATATAAAATTTAAATAATTAATTAATAATTAATTATATATAAATTTATTTTTTTATTTTTCCGCATTATATATAATTTAAATTATTTTTTTATAACTTTTTTTTTATAAAATATTTATAATTTATATTTAACGTACACGTTTATAACGTTCGAAAAAAAAATAATATAATTTCGTTAAAATATATAATTATTAAACCGTTAATATTTTAATAAAAACTTTAAATATATTATTAATTAATTAATTATTAATTAATTATTAAACGGTAATTAATAAATTATTAATAATTTATTAATTTTTATAATTTAATATTTTTATTTTTATAATTTAAAATTTTCGTATTTATATTTTAATTTTTTTTATTTTAAATATTTTCGTTTAATAAATAATATATTCGATTTAAAAAAATAATAAAAAATTTAATATCGCCGTAATATTTCGTTTAATATATTATTATTATTTAATAAAAAATGTAATTTTTTTAAAATTCGTATTTTTTTTTAACGTAATTAATTTAAAATTATAAAATATTTAATAAAAACCGTTATAAAAAAATATATTAATTAATAAATAATAAATTATTAATTTATAATTAATAAATAATTAATAATAAATTTTATTTATTCGTCGTTATATTACGAGTGAAAATTTATTTTATAAAAATTTAAAATTCGTTTTTTAAAATATTTAATATTTTCGAAAATTTAAATAAAAAATAATTATATAATTTTATATAATTAATAAATATAACGAAATAAATTTATAAATTTAAAAAAATTAAAACGTTAAATTTATAATTATAAAATTTTAATTATTCGATTAATTTTTTTTTTAAAATAATTATACGTTAAATCGTTAATTAATTAATAATTAATGAAAAATTAATTAATAATTAATAAACATTTATAATATTTCGTTATTTTTATTTTATTTTATAAAATATTATTATAAATTATTATAATAATTTCGTTCGTTTTTATTAATATAATTTTAATTATATTAATATTAAAATAATATTATTTATTAATATATTAATAATAATGTTTTATTTATAAAATATAACGATTTCGAAAAACGTTATTAACATATTATAAATAATATATTATATTATTATTAATTATTTATAATTAATAATTCATTAATTAATAATTAATTTATAATTAATTATATTGTAAAAAATTTTTTTTTTATTTTATTTATAAACGTTATAAATAATTATTTATAAAAATTTATTTAATAATTTTTAATTTATAATTTATAAATTAAAATTTATAAAATCGTTTATTCGTTAATCGTTTTAAAACATTTTAAATATAATTATTATATTATAATTAATTAATTATTATTTATTTATTAATTATTATTTATTATTATATTTACGTAATAACGTTATTTTTAAAATAATTTTTTATTTTTTCGTTTATTTAACGTTTTATTTTAATTTAATTATAAATTATTTTTTTTATTAATTCGTTATATTAAACGAATTTAAGTTTAAAATTTAAATATTAATAATATTTTAATTTTATATATTTATATATAAATCGTTTAATAAATACGTTATTTAAATACGTAAAAATAATAATTCGTTAATTATTAACGGTTTTTTTATAATATTTAATTTATAATAATATATTAATTTATATTTATTAATTAATTAATAATTTATTAATAAATTATTAATTAAAAATTAATTATTTTTTTTATAATTATTTTCGTTTTTTTTTATTTTATTTTTTTATTTAATAACGTAATAAATATCGTTTTTAAACGTTTAAAAATATTTTAATAACGTTAAAATATTTATTATTATTTTAATACGAATTATCGTTATATTATTATTTAAATTTTTAAAAAATAATAATATTAATTTATATATATTTACGTTTATTTTAAACGTAAATAATAAATAATACGGTTTTTTATATTAATAATTAATTAATTATTAATCGATTATTAATTAATAATTAATTAATAATTAATAAAATCTTTTTACGCCGTATTTTAAAAGTTTTTTTTTTCGTTCGTATTTTTCGATATTTTCGTTATAATTAATTATTTCGTTTATTTATTTTTATAATTTTAATAATAAAATTTAATTTTATATTAAATTTAACGTTTTAACGTTTAAATTAACGTTTTAAAAATTTTAAAAATTTTCCATTATTAATTAATTATTAATTAAATATATTTAAATTAATAATAATAATAATATTTAAATTATATTTATATAATATTATAATTTTAATTAATTAAAAATTAATTTATAATTAATTAAAATTATAATATTAATAATATTTAATAAATTTAAAATTTACTTTTTTATTTTTAATTATTTAATTTATTTTAAATATTTTTTTTTATATTTATTATTTTAATAATCGCCGGTTTCGGCTGTTTTACTTGTTTTACCCCTCTTTAACGATCGTTTCCTTTTTAAGTTAGCTGTTGCGGTGAGGTTTTAGCGTGTGTTGTCCTCACTTAGGCACTCGATCTTACTTGAATTGTACCTAATCCTTGTCTGCGCCTGTCTCCAGGGCTGTCTGTGTGTTCCCCCGCACTAGTGATAAACGTGATCGACACGATGCATTTCACTATGGAACTTGGCAATAACTTGGCTACCAGCCAGCCAGCCCGCCAGCCAGCAAAGCCAACAAACCCACCACGGCGCAGTTGGCGGTTGGGGCAGAGTGCGGCCCTGATTTATAGGTACCTACATATGCTATACAAAGTATCTAGCGCCATGCTATCATCGTTGTTGGTGACCCATTACTATTCGCGATCGTGAAGGCGATCGTCTGAGACCTAAGCAATCCCGTCCTCTTTCCGACCGGGCGGTCGACAACCCTAATTAGACGTTGCTAACGCACATGTTATACATGTTATACATGCTATACATGCTATACGTGGCAAAGGCGTGGCTAGATATATACCTACATATATGTACCTATAACTATGCTCCAAACCTCTTAGGAAAGCTAGTCTCTTTTTTCTTCCTTTTCTTCTTCTTCTTCTTCTTCTTTCTTCTTTCTTCTTTCTTACTTCGTTCTATATAGTATAACTACTAGGTAGGTACCTATTAGTGCTCAGGCACACCGTGATGCGCTTCAGTCGAGACAACTATGATATTTAGAACCTGCAGATATATAGGTAGCTACTAGGTACTTGTTAGGTACCTAGTTAGGTCATCTTATGCATCGTGACACAGCCGATAACGGGGCATTTAGCTCTAATGTGATGGGGAATGCCGGAAATGCATCGGTCGGTAGTTGATGATCTGCGATAGCTGCAGGCTCTCTCTCCCCTCCCCTCCCCTAGTCGAGCCCAGTCTGGCCTAGTCCGAGCCAAACCTTGCTGGGCGACATCTGGACACGATCAGAACCTACCTAGAAATCCAGTTTAAAATAAAACCTAGGTAAGTACAATACAAATTATGCGTGTAGATGTCATATGGTTACCTACCTAGTACTTACTTTACCCAGGTATTAGATGATTCTCGAGATAAAAATAATAATAAAATAAAATAAAATAGAAAAAAAAGAAGACAAAAATTAAGGGAAAGGGGTAAGCGAACGCTACGTACTGCTCTCGACTACGCATACCTCGATGAAGATGTCATGGATGCATACGATAAGGTCACTCGGGACCTGCTGTATCTCCTCCTCTTCCTCCAAATCCGGTAGCCTGACGCATGTCGCCATCGTCCCAGCTTAGACCAGTGAGTCGTTCGTCGGTCCCTGGAGACGACCGCACCTCGACCTATCTGGCAATCTAACCTTGATTGGCACAGCCATCGTAGCGTTAAACTATATTGACTCAGTCTATGCATCCATGGATAGTAATAGTATGCGCGGGTGCTGCAGGCCAACACCAAGGCAGGGGGTTGATGACTGAGACCCCGGATGGTCGTGATTGGGTGAGATGCAGGTTTCATCATCACATCACTCTCTCTAATGCAAAGAAAAAAGGCTTGTCAGGCGTGAGGCATGTGTGCCATCTCGGTTCAGCATTCTCAGGTGGCTTAATGTTACTTCCCCTACCTACCTAATTTATATATATATATATATAAGTTTATTCGCTCCACACTCTGCCGATCTCAAGCCGAACCTTTTTTTTTCCTCTGGGGATATGAATAGCAGCTGAATTATTTATGGCTGTGTCGAATTACGTATCCTGATGAATCCGTTAAGCCTTTGAGATAACGAGCTGTTGACAAGATATAATAACGACTAGTATCGTTTTCGATTAAGCCTACCTTTCCCAAATATACAAAGGACGTCAGTGCCCGACCATTCTTATCGACAGCATTCTGGAATATAATAGGAACCTTGAAACATACGACCTACACGGTGCCCTTGGGTGGTGGATACGTATAATATGAATATGTCCAAAACTTTGCGAAAGTCGACCCGGCCGACCACCGTCGACGATATCGACGCTATTACACCATGTCCGCTTGCTCGAAACACACCCGATGAAATTGAGATATCCGAGCTCATCAATCCGACTGACAAATTTCAGGAGTCAAGGTCACCTTCGCCGTGTTCCGAGGCTATGTCGGTTCGCATGGATGCGTTCAGAAACAGAAGACGAGAGTCGCTCAAAGCCTTAGAAGAGGGCACCAATGGCGATCCCAAGAGGCTGTGGAAGCGCATGTTAGCCCTCCAGCAGACCTATGGCTGCTATAACTCAGCTCGAATGAGCGCGGCACTTAGCTCCGGGGATATCGGTTTGCTACTGCGTAAGTGTTTTGTCTCGTCTTGCTAAAAAGACCTCCGATGTAACCCGTAGATACCTATGCGGTCGCTGACTCATGGACACTAGCCTCGAAAGCATGCTTAAACCTCCTAAACGAAAACATGGCTTTCCTACCAGATGAGGGAGAAGATGTTTCTGTGGGATGGCAATCAAGCTTAGGTCGTAGACGAGATCATTGAACTAGATGAGGTTTCGGAAGACGAAACGACGAAACTCTCGTGGACACGCGTGTCGGAGGGTGAGCACATCCTCTATTTATGAAGAATGTTTTGGGTCATAAAAAAAGGGGGGGTGTGCTCCGGTATTATTGGGCGTCGGCGGCAGATTGCATTTTGATACCCCTAGTTTGGAGTTTGACAGTGAATTGATCGATTTTGAGCACCTGTACGAGCCGGCAAACTTGTGCATCTGGTACATCTGGTACATCTGCCTTTGAACGAAATCTTATCCCGTCATTAAGCTCCGAAGCACATTTTCCAACACTTTTCCACATTGCTCACGATAGTGTACGACGAGTTGCTGGTTACGATTAGTAGCCTCGTACTCGGGCTCGCTCATTTCCAAGTCCTCCAGATCAATACTCAACTTCGAACCTAGCGAGTCAATAATTTTCCTGAGAACATCATCCGCGATTTCTCCCCGCATAATTTCGCTCAGGCTGGCGTTGTTTGTTTCGCTTTCTCCCTTTGTGATGGTCTCGTAGAGGGCAAGAATGAGGGTATCTTGAATGTGCGAAAAGCAGGGAAGACAGCCGAGTGAGTCCGCGCTCAGGAGTCTTGACCTTCCTACTAAAGAGCTCTGGTGTGTCATAGGTCTCAGTGAGACGACATGCGTAGCAGCCAGGTCGCCTGCTTCTGGATCCGCCTTTGTCTGGATATGGATATAATCATTGTGGAAGCTGTCGTCTTCTGGAATCACAAATCCATAGCCAAGAAGCAACTCGACGTTAGTCTTCATGCCATAGTTATTAAACACTTGTTCCCCATTCGAATATGTTTGCCTACATCTAAGTATGCACAGCTGGGCTTGTTCGTCGGTGGTCCACGCAATTTTAGCCAATGGCGAGTGATTTCCGATATCGTATAAAGGAAGTAATACTGAGAAGTCGTCTACATCGCAAGGGAGGCTAGACGAAGTTTGCGACGGGAGAATGAGCGAAGGGCGAAAACTACGGCTCGTAAAAATACCATAAGCCCAATAGTACAGCGGTCGAGTATACTCCGAGTGGTAGCTTTCCGGCAGCAACTTTATAGCGCGCTTGTACTCTTTCTTCAAGGTGGATTTTATATCCTGAATGGCCGAGAAGGCATTGGTCCCCTTCAGGAAGTCGATATCGTCCGATGGCCACATGGCAGGAAGAATGCTACCCATGTGTTCGGGCTGAGGTAAAGTTCGTATATACGGCCACCATTTAGATTTGGACCCGAGAAGGTGTTGTTGCATGAGAAAGAACCGGCCGGCGATGTGCGGAGGTGTCGTCTTTAGAAACTCGGTTGGGAAGTAGGGTGTGTCCTCACGATTCACGTCGCCTAGAGAAAAAGATGCGAAATCCGGGTGATTGTCAATAGCATTAATATATGAGAGGGATTTCGAAAGTGGGAGAGTGACGATAGGGTCATCTACTCCAAGTGAACATGAGTCTTTCACACGGAAAGATGCTTTAGTGAGGTCGTCATAATAGATCTCGATGGCGGTATTCAGACTCCCTCCGTCGTCCTCTACCCACCGAAGTAGCGCGTCGTAGCGTTCTGCAACTGTAGCCATCACGACCTCATGCTATTTCGGAAGGTAACTTTTTTGGGAGAAGTTTAAAGTTTATAATGGTTGCTTTCGTTTTCGAGACCCTGAATGAAGAATAATAGGTGATCTGGAACGTTGAATCCTGGGTAGGTATCTACCCACCTGGTATGTACAGAATATGTAGGTAGGTAGGTAGGTAGTATTCAAGATTAAGAAGTGTGAATGTGAAATTGAAGATTGAAAAGTATTCAGGTACCTACCAAGTCAAGGCAGGTACGTACCTAGGTAGGTGAAATCCAGTGGGTCATACCAACGAGGCAGTCCCGGAGCCCAAGAAAAGTGTGACTAGTACTGTGAGGGGTTATATCCTACCTACCTAGGTACCTAGGTAGGTATTGTACCTTACCCCGCGCGTCCCCTGTAATAACCTTGGAATTCATCCATTTCTTAGGTAGGTAGGTACCTATTATTACCTATTATCCCTCCCACAAATACCGTACAACTTCTATATGAATCACACCGTATAATAGACTCAGAAGACTCAGAAGACTCCTGGTACGAACCGTGCCGTTCTAGCGTGCCACCTTTCCCAGTCCGCGCCGAATTTTGTCTTCAGCATACTTTCCTCCTCCTTAACCCGCGTCCACAATCCGAATATGGTTAACGACAGCCAGGTAGGAAGAAGAAGCGCCCACCCAAGAGTTCGCAGAGTGCTATACCATTCCGGCGGGATCCAGCAGCTGAGTGCGCCGTCCACCCTGCCTAGGAGCCTTACATTAGACACGAGGATAATCATGATGCCAGTGTAGCTGGGATGCTGCACGTAACGGTAGATGCCATCAGTCTTCAGGCCATCAGGCTCCGCGAGGTCGAACGTGAAGTTCTTACCCAGCGAAGAGTACGCGCCCAACCGTAGCGGAACCCCGGCACATAGGATCAGGGCCAAAGGGATAGACGTTGCCGCAGACCACTAGGTGTAACAACAAGGGTCAGTAATGGCTTTTTTTTTTTTTTTTTTTTTTTTTAAGAGGACAGGATCAATCATCCTTCTATTCTTCCATTCCTCTATTGTCTCCGTTAGGAAGGATTAATTCATCGGATGGGCTAGGAGAGTGCAGGAGTACGCTCAGCGATACATACCGTCACAAGTTCTGGGTTAAGACCATTCGCCGCGCCGTAGCGGAGAAAGAGCGGTGGGATGTTTGGATAGAAAAGTACTAGGGAAGAGGTGTGCAGCGCCAGAAAGCCCAGCGGGGCCATCCCGAGCCGAGCCGTGCGTTTGCTAGTTATGTTTAGCATACGCATCATGTCACCCGTTGGCGGCGCGGGCTTCGTGCTGATGTTGGGAGGCGAGAGCCCAGCATAGCTTGCGAGCGTGGACACTAATATCGTTGCCGCCAGGGAACCCTGAGACGGAGAAAGAGAAAGAGAAAGAGAAAGAGGGAAGGTCATTTCTTCTTGAGCCTTAGACTAGGTAGGTAGAGTTGGTCTATGACAGGAAAGTAAGATGCAACTATTAGAATGAATTTCAATTCTGCTGTTCAATGCTGCGGATATCCAGGGGCACGAATACCGGCCAGGTAGCTTTGCGGTAAAATTGTCATGAAACTTCGAACGCGGACATCGTCTCTTTCTATAGATCAACCCACACCGAGTACCTAGGACGACCTAGGCAGATAGAACTCTTCCATGTGGATGAAAGTGACGTCACAAGCAAGCCAAAGCCGAAGCCGAAGCTCTCAACTCAATTCCAGCTCTGCCGGTGGCGTGATAATCTCCCGGGACCTAGACAGCTTTTGGGTGATCAGATCGTCCGTTGACTGTCGACCGTTGAAAGTATTAGGTAGCGCCCGATTAGTTCATTATATACTAGGTACCTACCTACCTATCTACCTAGTACTTATCCATATCTGAACTTATACCTTCTAGTAAGGGATGATGCTACGTTGATGTTAGGAATTTCATTCTGCCTTCCTTTCATCCCCTATTCTACTCGCGGGATACACCACTATTTAAAGTATAATCCGTCGAATGAATGATCATAAAGCAGGATAAATTTACAATGTCATTTCTCAATAATTATTACCTCTATAGTGAGAAATCACTACAGATTCTTTTCGTGGTAAATTTTTGAGATTGCGTGGGAAGGAGAAGTCGGTGCGAGATTCTATTCCCACCTTTGCCTAAAGAGAAGATACCGACCTCCTCAGCTTTCAGTAAGTAGGTACATACATAGCTGAATCGCAGCTCTGAGTTCGTGAAGGTTTTAGACTCGATCAAATGGGTATCTAGCTAGGTAGGTAGGTAGGCAGATAGGCATGGAGGTGACTCGAAATCTGTGACAATTGTTAATCAAATGTACGTAGGTATCTAGTGAGAGTATGTCGACCTTACCGTAGTTACTTGTCACGAGGCGGAGCCAAATGGTAAGGGAACGGCGACTTTATTACACGAGCAGCTCTAAATTACTCGCTAAGGATAACACTGTATATATACAGATAAGGCTCTCTGTCTGTTCTGTTCCCAAGGCTAACGGCCAACAGTAGGTAGGTACCTCATGGACTCGACGGACTAGCCTTTTTCCATAAAAGATATTGCCTTACACCAGCCTTGGAAATAGGTATCCATCTTCATGCTCGCCGAGCATGGCTCAATCGCCGTCGAATAAACTAGGGTTAATACCAAAGCTTGAAGGATATTCCGTGAACTTATTATAATAAATAAATACCTACTCAATGTCCAGAGTTTAGGTAGTCTCTCGAGAATATTCTCAGATAAGGGCTCAGTCTGTAGGTGACATATTGATGATTATTTGGTAGATACCTATCACGCATCTTAACACCCACAGCTAAATATCGTTGATCTCTAATGAGCGCAAAGTCTGGGGTCATCATCAATGAATCGTTGGCGAATGATACAACGTGGTAAGCATTCTTCTAGCGGCTTCACGAGTTTACTTGCTACAGTGCCTATCAAGATAGAATATAAGGTAGGTTACTATAAGGGGCTTCGGTGTAATCCTAGCAAACCAATACTAGGTAGGTACTCCTCTAGTTGTCCAAACCTTCCCCTTATCTCACCAATCTAAAACATAGCTCATTCTTAAACATCTATAGAACTAGGTATATTCACATCATAGTAAATGTACGATGACCCCCAATATCTAAATAGGTACCTATAGAAAACCCTACTTATTTCGTCGAAGCACTTGGTCATATCATCCTTGTTTGCCTACTTACCTAAGTACCGAGGTAGGTAGGTAGATAATTGACATCATATTTACCTGGATAAGTACCTTGTAGATAGCGTTGTTTGAAGGTTGTGGTCACTAGTAACCTTGGAAAGCAAGATAAATTTTCACTACTGATTTTTAAATTCATGGAGATGGTAAATAGGGGCTACATACATAGTACCTACCTACCCAGTAGGTACTCGATACATATGGAAGCTATCGTGTGTAGCACCTTAGGTAGGTACCTACCTACCAATAATTAATATCACTCAGTTTGAATAGACGCTCCTTTATGAACCTAAATGAATTGGAGCTTTCACCCCACGATATGAGTCAACCCAGTAAAAGGGGGATACGGATATCGTATTGAAATTTACTACCTACCTAGGTACCTAGTGATTTATAGTCGATTATCAAACATGATTTCTTTTAAAACCATCGCAGGGTATAGGTACCTGTTAACATAAAAACTTCTATGGTAGAAAAGTATATGAATAGGCACACGATTTCCATTCCTAGACTTGTACGAGGTCCGACGAATTCCCAACGTACCAACCTTGATCGGCATCTCTCGTCTAGTGAGAGAGGGATCGTAGATGGTAACTACCTATCTTAGGGAATAAACGAAAGGCCGATTGATTCACGTAAGTATCACCTCTTGCATTTGTAATGCCTGTCACAACACATATCAAAGGTGTCAGACATCGGTCTTCCTCCAGGTCAGTAGCTAGAGGTCTATGGGATCGGGATTCGGCCCGTCGAGTCCCCGTGAGGGTCCTGTTGGCCGCTAGTCCTAGGAGTAGGATAGAGAAAGAGCTTCACCTATATGTATACCGTGTTTTCTATAGCGAGAGTAGTTAAGAGCTCTTCGCGCAACAACGTTGTTGTTTTTTAGTCTTTTGGTTCCGCCCCGTGACAAAAAGACTCAGGAAACCAGCGGCATCCCTAGGCTAAGGAGGTATCTACTTTGTAGCAACTTAGCTTCCGCGGAGGTTTTAACGTATGCATATATGAGGCACGACTGTGGAGTCTTGTCAAGCGCTTGTGGTATATTAGATAGGTACCTACCTAGTATTCGTACTGCAAAAATGCAGATCCGGTAAGTTGAGCTTATGTAAATGTAACCATACTCATAACTCAAGCCGAGTTCATTTCTAATGTTAGACCTCGATCGCTTGGTGTACTGGTATCCCTGAGCATAGTGCATGGTTATTGCTCCCTCTGCTAGGTAGTACCTAATCGGCGTTGGCTTCGAATGAGAGTGGAATGTGCAATTCCTTGACGGAAAAAGAACTTCTCCTTCTACCTAGTACCTATCGATGCGTTGTTCGTGATGTGTAACTATTTAAGAAAAAACATGATCGAAAGATAGGACCAAATCAACCTATGTAAAGCTCTTATCATTGGAACGGTTCGAGCCGTGCCGCTCCCAGTCGTAAAGACCCTCATAAAATTTGAACCTGGATGATTTTCATACATCCACCAGGGTTGTCGGAGCACATATATGTTGTTTAGTAGGTACCTACTGAATACTAGATACTGGTTGTTAAGACAACTGTAGAAATGCCGGGGAAAGCCCTAACAGATAGTAGTTTACTGCTTCTTAAATATGATATTGTATAATATGTATAATATCTATTATTTTCTGATGGCAATTCGAGTACTTGTCTTTTCAACTTCCAAGGTTGCTTCGTGACCCTTTATTTCTTCTGGCGGAGTTCGGGTCCGTATGGTACTTGAAATAACGCGCAATTCCATCCCGACGGCGTGGGTTCGCGCATCTTTAAGCGACCCGAGACGCTGTACTGGGTCTGCCTCTATTGGTCTAGACCTGTATCTAGAACTGCTTGGCTATTTAAATTCTTGGGTTCCAACTTTCCACAATCTGACATCACGGATGATACTGAAGATCACGTATGGCGACATAGGTATGCGAGCATATCATCCCCGTGTCTAGGGACCGATCACTTCGCGATTTATGTATTTTATTTTAACGAAACAGTGTTAAAATTTCTAGGACGAATTCGTCGTGGCTTGTGCCATAAAAGACCTATTGTCAATAAGCGAATGCGAGCAAAGACCACCTTATTCATTAAACTGGCAATTAGCCACATCTCCACCATAATCATATAGTGCCCTAGCAGCCTAGGTAGTGATAATACATACATACCTGAGGCTTTGCAAAACTGGATCTAGTATGTAAATTCTAGCAAGGGAATTACTGGGCTGCTGGGACATGTCTAGTAGGTTGGTAGCCAAGACACGTGGCGGTGTCCGAAAGCTATGGATTTCACACGGCTCAGCTCCAGGGACATGTCAGCATGTTCACCATATCTCCCAGGTACGTATGTATGAATCATCGGACAAGCCGCTATGATTTACGATGTCGAATTCGATTAGCGCTTAATATACCTAGGGAGGTACGTAGGCCCTAGGATCTACCTGGGAAGGTAGGCACTTACCTAGTAGGTAACGAAAGATATATGATCTTCGCTCAAGAAGAAATCTTCCTCGATTCCTTCTAGATGTGTTCTACGGTCAACTACCTATTTACCACGTCCCTACTTCGTAGTGGGTATGTATTAGTAGATACCTAGATACCTAGATACCTAGGTACCTAGGTAGGTAGTAGGTAATCTTCCTAACTTATCGTAATAAGAGTGCTGAATGTTTAATCTGACTTCGCTAACCACGTTGCCGTTTGCGGGTTTGTCTTGGTGCTGCAAAATGATATATGACGGGTTTCGATAACGTCGGCTGTAGGTTAACAGAATGGGCAAATGGCTGAAACTGCCGCGAATCCTTGTGTTTCTGCATACCTATGCAGCTATGCAGGCTTCTGGAAGACTTCGTTGGCTTTAATTTCGGCCACTATTCGTGGGGACGTCTAACGCTTGGCTGTATATAGTAAAACTTACGACGATCCTGATGGCCGTGGGTGTCCCACGTGCAAGACCTAAGCTAATAGTATGTTTCGAGTCTCCTCTTCTTGTCCATATGGCTCCTAGATGTACCTACTAGGTAGGTAGGTATGCACGTAGATGCCTGTCATTGGAGGTAGTCATCCGCCGGCAACACGATATCAGCCTTGTATGAGCGATTCAGTGCCCTTCGCTTCTTTTTATATTTATTCTACGAGAGACTTGCTCCCGTATCTGCGCCAATTCTGAATGAGCCAGCAAGGTACGATATCCTCGGCTAATTATTTCCTATCTTGTCGTCGAGGATTCCTTTTTATGATAGCTCACTTTTGATAATAAGCTAGGTAGCATACCAACTCAACAGATAGGTACCTAGTACCTAGTAGGTAAGTAATCAATTTTATCTTACTACTTACCTAGTCATCACTCTCATTTTTGATGTATGCTCCTCGGCCAATACAGAGTTGTCCTACTTTATATTTGTATGATGGTCCGGTGTTTTGAAACAGCTCGTTTCTAAATTCTTTTCGTTATTTTCTTGCCGCAACTCTCGTTTTAGTGCCGCGTTACGGAATACCTACCGTACGCAACACGGCAATGACCTATTCCAGAATAGAAACTTGTTCAACTATAGTCACTAACCTATTCAGTCAAGTACTTGATTCTAGATTGCGTCTAGACCCTGCAGAGGCAGGGTGTGTCAGACTGGTGTCCGTCCTCTTTCCCCTATGTACATAGGTAGGTATTAGGTACAGGTATGTACCGCGCCGCAACGCGTTTCTGTTTCTTTTCTTTTTTTTTTTCTTTCCCTTTTCTCCCCCCCCCCTTCTTTGGTGGGGACAATATCCACCGCGTTGCGGATATTTTCCTTTTCTGCCGTATTATGTGGATACTCTGGCCCGAGTTCCTGGTATCGACAATCTTGTATATACCTAGTTCTACTAACTACCTACTAAGTACTAAGTACCTAGGTAGACAGTTAGGTACTTATCTTGCTTTCGATATATCGTATAAGGTACAATACATAATATTTATCCCTTGCAGATAACTCGAAAGCATAAAGATCGAGATGTAACCCGATTATGTGTTTTCACCCCTAGACTGGATGTTGCTTATTATGGTGTACTACTACTATTACTTATTAGTCTCGTTATTTTCCCTGTCATGCAGTTTATCATTCTTAGCTGACGTACATAATACATACGCACAGGGTGCTTGACAGCTCGGAGAATAGTCCGTTAGTTAGTTGCCCCTGGCCGTGGTGTCAACATAGGGCACAGTGACCCAACGCTAAAGGAGACCCGCCTTCGTCAGGCCAGCGACAACTGGTTGCCGATCGTTGGCTCACATGAAGACGGGTCTTCGGAATACTACTAGGTACACGACGTACTGTGTAGGTATTATTGATGTGTATAGGTAGGTATGTATGTATGTACATATAATGATTTAGGTCAGGAAGCTGTGTTATTATATATACATACCTAGGTACCCTAGGTTGTCTCAGTGCTGTACATACCGCGTATATAGGAAATATGTAGTTAGACTGCAACACTGGTTAATCTACAGAGGCTGAGGCCCTTGTCTGCCTATGCCTACTGCAGTTACCAGGACCTAGCTAACTCCTGTCTGTCTGTCTGGCAAGGATCATGGTACAACGACGATAATCGACGAGCCCATCCAAATATCGTCGATGATAGGTGCGTACCACGGTCTTGGCACTTTTAAAAGAGTAGCGTGGTCTGTATGGTATGAATCCAGGCACATTTGGTCAAGGGTTCCTGGCGTTGTACTTCTTCTCGGGTTGTCAGTTGAGAGAGAAAAAAAAAAAGCACGATCGACGATACAGCAAGCTTAAATACATAAATATTTCCACCCACCTTCAACTTCGTTCATTAATATTACCTACCTACTTAAATGCGTCGAATTACTATGCGAGAAATCCATTAACCACGCGGCAAATCGGACGCCCTATTTACCCATTCCTCGAACCTGCCCATTCCTCGGACTTCTAGGTCTAACGTTGGCAAGGGTCTATCTAGAGCGTAACCGCCATAATTCGGGATATCTGTACGCCTGTACTCGTCTCAACAATTGTGTTACTTGAGTATCTTCATAAGCTAGCGGAGGATCTCGGAAGCTCTTCGACAATGTGTGATTATACCCAGGTATATCTCATAATCTATCCGGTTTGCGCGTCTCGAAACTTGAGACTCTTCTGACCTTAATTTTGCTAGGTGGAATACTGTTGTCAACATTTCCGCTTCGTGGTACAAAGATGGTGCTCAGTATACGAGAGGACAAACAAGGTCTGCGCGCCCAATGTGACGCATCTAGAAGTAAGGTATGTTTATTATAGCCTTGCAGCAAACCTACCTGCAAAGGTAACCTATTTTATAACACTTGGTTGGTTGCTGACATTTTTGGCTAGGCATGATGAATTGTGCTGTAAGCTTCTCCTGTTTCTTACCTAGCAATGAGCGGTTTTTGCAAGGATTACTTCTGGTGCTCATCGACGCTCCAGGACTCCCCATATCTCTCCGCTCTGTGCTACATTTCATCTGGGTTACAGCGTCTGCCTTGACGTGGACGTAGCCGAGCGACGTGGCATGGGCGTCATCCTCTTTCAGCTTATTTCCTTTTCTCACCTGGGCATACAACGAGGACTCTCTTCCTAGTCTTTACGTCTCGCTAACAAGCTGCTTCTAGCCGATTGTCGGCCTCGGTCTCCCCCAGCGTGGGAGCATATGATCAGACGAAGCAAGAGAGCCACGCCTTATATCTAAACTGAAGGGCCTATCATCTTGACGATGTTACAGCCAATTTTTAATTTTTTTTTTTTTTTACATGTATTATGGGAGCGACGGTTTTAGGATATATCGGGACCATCCGATGACGTGTATCTTTAGGAACGATGCCGACTCACTAGACTGTGCCATGGCGCAAACACTGTTCTATAGGCCTTAGCACTATTTGCAGAGTACATTCCCATGGCGAAGAAAAGGGGCTACTAGATTTGGAGTTTGGAGTTTGGAGTTCTAGGTACCTAGGGGTTTATGGTTGGGACGCTGTGTCGGCGATGGATACCGGAAATGCAGTCTTCTAAGATGACTACTAGATAGCTTGGATGAAAGCACCACGGGATATGACTTGCCGTCGCATCATTAACTAGGTACCTACCTACCTACATATACCTCGGTAGGATATTATCATCACTACTAAGAGAGTCCCGTCAAGATGGTAGTGGCGGGATTTTATTGCTTCCTATTAACAAAAAAGAAGCCCGAATTTGATCTACGCAAGCGTACCTTCCATGATTCTAGTATGGTAACTGGTCTATTTTGATAGGGGGCATACATAACCCCTGTCTTATCTTGGCAGAGTTGAATAATCCCACTCACTCTGAGTGGCTCGAGATCGGACTGCCTCATGGCATACTTGATTTCAAGGCTCGTTTTAGGAGCCTATTAGAAATAAAGATCTCTACTACCTAGGTACCAATCAGGGCTCTTCCGTGACCCAGCGCATGTTTTAACTGGAACCAACTCTCTCCCGAGCTAATCGATCCATTACCTTTGCGTTATGTGTCTCGCACCCATCTTCATAGCTCACCAATCTTGCGAAAAGGCTTACTCTTTGACCTCAAACCTCAAACTGCCTGACAGATACTCATGCATACGTACTAGGTAGGTATGGGGATATCTTATTACATAAAAGACGGAGCGAAATAAGCTGACGACAACTTATAAGCATGTTCTACGAATCATGTTGTTACACGACCATGGCTTATGAGATATGAAGTTCGAGTTCGATTGAGTTTCTGATGACGAGACGCGAATATGTCACCCTCTTGTAATCATTCAATGCTACTTGCCCACAACACTTTGTACCATGTAGCCTATTGACTTACCTAGGCACTGCCTACTTAGCAATTATCGCAATTATCGGAATTAGGTATGTGCCTGGTAGGTAGGTAGATGAGCACTGACAAGCAACTGCATCTGCGTACTCTATTACTGTTTCTTGCCCGCTGCCACGACATTGCAGCTGACTATTGTGCGTGCTGGAATTAAGAGCCAAGAACCGCATCCCTCACCAATAGAAAGAGAGAATGGGGGAGAGAGAGTCAGTGTCATACCTTAAGTAGGGATACACAACATTGTATTATCTCACCATCCTTATTTCCCGAGTTCTTCGGGGTACTGCCAGATAGGTACCTATCATACTGGCCGAAGATCGTTTTTGGCGATAAAGCAGTCCTGAAATCTCTCCAACATCGCGCGTGATCCTCTAGCTTACCGGCTTGATCTTTTCTATCATTCGTCACGTCATCTCTACAGTCACACCTACCCCTATCCAAGAGAAGCGCTCCCGATTTCGGCCATAATAATAATAAAAACGCATTTTCCCCGGTCATCTTTTTCTTTCTCGATAACCCTGATGACCGATCTATTCTTGCATATCTACGATACGCTCCTAGTAATGGATATTCCCCTTGGCGCTATGTTATAGTAACATAATTTCCTACCCTCCTTACGTCAGATGGACGAATGCGACTTTACGTGCATCGCACGCAAGTCACGCAACCTCGCAATTTTCGACCTGGTTTATCAACTTCTTCCCGTGTTAATTGCCTAGGTTCCTATTGTTGACTTCAGGTTGACCCCGGTAGCGATATTTAGACAACGCTTTGAACACATCCCTTTTCATCTAGAACGAGTCCACCTAGATACACGTAGTCTAAACTTCATAGCGTACATATGTATGTCTTGGTTATGGTAATGGCGATGGTAGAATGTCGCATGCTATTATCGGTGTAAGGGAACTTTCTTACCCTTTGCACTTTGGCTGAGCAGATCCTCTTCATCCGGCTTGGGATGCCACGAGACGTCGAAGGTGTCAATGCGACCTACCCGATTAGGTACCTACTATTGCAGAGTTACAGCCGGGGAGTTCCTATCGAGATGGCTGTTGACCCCGACGCAGTATCATACAAGATACTAGGTATGAATAAAAGAAGGAAAGCCATCATTCTTACCTACCTAGGTATATACATGTTGAAGATCGGGTCTAGAAGATATAGCACTCGGTTTATCATTGCCGAGTCTGCAAGTTTTTTTTTAGTTTTTTTTTTGGTTTTACGGCCCTACAAGACAAGCTATGTATCTGTTTTCTTTCTGGTTTCTTTCTTTTTTCTTTTATTTCATTGTTACCCTTTACTAGGTGCTACCCCTGCTTGACAGGTGGATAGGGTATTGGTAAACCCCACTTAGTCTCCTATTTCTAGGCCTTTGTGCTTGGGCTTCCTTGGTTTTCGTTTCCTCTCAGTGTCACCGCAGCACGTGGGAAAGAGGGGGGGTTCACTATGCAACCGCCTTAAACAGGGCTGCACATCTACACGTTGCTTAGGTACGATACCTTAGGTACCTAGGCGTTACTACGCTAGCTGATTAGTAGGTATTAGGTAGCCGCCCTGCTGCCGAATAATTTACATCCATCCTCCATCCTCCATCCTCCACTTTGTCTCAAAGCTCGACATCTCATTAATTATTGTCTTGCTTTTTCCTTGATCCGTGAGATTAGAAAGTCGTGGATGTAACGCAGCATTTAGGTAAGTACGTACTCACCTACTTAAATATTAATATTATTTGAGAACTAACCTATATACTTACCTACCTACATACTCACTTACTTGCTTAAGTATCTATCTACTTAGGTACCTAGGTATATGTAAGTAAAACAACCCATGATTACACACTAATGGCAGAAACAGGGAGAAAAGCTCCCGACGCATACTAGTTTTTAGTCTAACATGCAGGGTCTCTTATAAAAATACTATGTTATAATAAATGATTTTATTATACCATCTTAGTTAGTTTATACTTGCCGCCTCGAATAACGAACGAATTTTAAGGTTATTACTGAAATAGTAGTGTAGCTACCTAGGTACGTAGGCGGACACTATGCACACACATCCACCAAATAAAACGTATACATACCAGCTATTATAGGTATGTATATGCGAAAAGAAAGGTCATAGCAAATCCCCGCCTCCACTCGGTGAGGGTTCACCAAGTAGATAGTAGCAGTTGAAAACACCTATGTACGTCGACTTGCTGAGGTACGAATCTAACCAAATCAAGTCAAATATGGTCATGATATTTTGGGAAACTTTAGGAGTTCTGTTGCCTCATGTCGACAAGCTTGCCCTTGTACGACAAGTTTTGTTTCACGCCTACCTAGGTACCTACCTACCAGGTACCTACTAGGTAGGTAGGTAAGTACAATTCCTACCTGATATTGATTGAATCTGAAATATATAGTACCTACCTTAAATATCTACTGAATAAATAAACCACCAGCAGATTTTTGTAGAAACTTGTTTCAAACAGAAGACTCAGCTGCAAGCAAAGCAAGTATATGTATGTAACGTATGAATTTCTCAGTATTTAGGTACCTAATCATTCCACACCGCTTACATACCTACCTAGGTACGTTAATATGATGTTTGACATGTTAGGCATACATGAGCTAATCCTTTTATATCCTATGTTTAACGTACCTACTCATGCGCTATGCAACTTCAAAAGGTAGGTACCTACCTAGGTAGGTAAGTACGTATACGATGCGAATTCGATATGCTTAAGAAAACGTAATAAAGCTCATACCTCCTAGTACATTTCTCTTATCTTTTATGAAGTTATACTTATAAGCACATTACCTTAGAACACAACCGAGAGAAACAAATTAGGGGGTGGATGAGGAGTAAACGAGGAATGGATATGGACGCGGGGAAAAAGAAATGGCATGATTATTGAAGACCTCCTCGGTTCATTACAGATGCAAGACCGGGTACTGACTGATGTAAATGAGCTATCTTCAGTCCGTGACCTTCCATCCCTACATATTGTCACCTTGGCCGCATAAAGCTCAACTCATGTGACATGCCCCGGTTTTGAAAAGACTAACTTAACTCGGAATCTCGGGAAACAGGTAGAGGCTTTTTTCGAAAGTATCCGTGGCTTCTTGGATATCTACCTAGGCAGGTAAGTGTATAATTAAGAAGTAAATACATACCCAGGTACAATACCCAGGTAGGTAAAGACATGCGAAAGAATAGCTATACCTTAACCCGGATATTGGATCATTAGGAGGTATACATGGCAATGATTTTTTGCACTCGCGGTTCGAGAGTTATCGTAAAACCAACACCAACACTTAACATTCGGTGTTTTATTTACTCCCTTCTAGGTTTCTAAAATAGGTAGATGTCTTGGAGTATGGCCGTTATACGATATGCAATCAAACCAACCATGGTACTGGCTGTTAAACTGGAGTAGAAGAGATCTAGTCACCCCAATTAACTATAACATGGTTCGGCAGATAGGAACTTGACCCAGTACCTAGGTACTTAGTTTAGGTACGTTTAGTTCCACAACGAGAACTCCTCCTCCTCAGCTCGCATCGGCCATGAAAAAAGATGAAAAAAGATGCTATATCTACTATGCATGTACTTGTATTACATCAAAGGCCACTTACATGCTGATTTTATAGTAATATATATATATATATATATATTATTTTTCGAACCTTTTTTTCATAGGAAAAATTGCTAGTTCTCGAAGTACCCCTAAGTAAATAAACGACAAAGAACAGTTATATACCTATTTTTTATAATATATAACGTGTATACTCACAAGTACCTAGGTATCTACCTAGGTACATACCCAAGCAGTAGGTACCTTACATACGTAAGTTTATTAAGAGTGGAAAGAACAAAAGAAAAGATTGAGGACGGAGTTTTTAATTTAATCGAAACAAGCGCCTTTTACAAAAAGTAAGCGCTTGAGCTCTCAAGTCACTCAATGCACCCCAACGCGGACCGACCCGACGATACGGATCAGCCCAAGTTGATCTAGTAGATCGCAACCTTGTCTGCGGGGTATCACAACTCTTCTATTTCTTAAGTAGGTAGGTACCTACCTAGTATATGCAGAACGCTCGGAGAGGAAATGCGATCTTACCTAGGTAGGTAGTCAACTTCCTGAAGACCTAAAGACAAGAAACGCCGTCTAGACAACTTACACCTTTTTTCATATAGTTGCGATTACCGTTGATCCGAGGTACAGTAGTATATGACTTTCCGCTTCGAAGCCTCAGGCATACATCAGTCCCTTACTACCTACTTATAGGTACCTACCTAGGCAGCTAGGTAGGCACATACCATCACCATAGCCTACCAAGTATGTATCCTACCCAAACGTCAGCCAACGATCATCGCGTACCAACCTTATTCGGGATCTCTACCTTCCGTCCGGAACGAGGAAGAAAAGCAATGTTAGATCAGATTTATACGCGAGATCTCGAAGAAGTCAGATGAACGATAACTCTACGGGGTAAAACGTTAATCTAATTGGCAAGTCATTCATGACTGGGTATACCCCCCTTGGGCGTTCTTTGCCGGGTGGTGTTAGGCCACGCCACAAAGCGGTGAGAGTTGGAATCAATGACCCTTGTAGAGGACAGGGGAGGAATGAACACCACTCTAGAAGTTAGTAACGAAACCATTCTTTTTCATATAGTACCTACCTATTCTTCTATGTAACACATATGTAGGTACCTGGTATTTACTACCAGCCATCGAATCCTCCCATCGGCGATACTAGGCTAACTCACAACACCCTCCCTCAATATAGGGGTAGGTAGGCGCATAGTCGTTTATATACATACGCAGAGCTTCAGTTAACATAGATGTCTCATGAAGCAGATAAATGCGTGCTTTTTCTATGTCGGCATATCTGGCGCGGATCTGATAATTACCTACCTAGGTACCTACCTGGACTCAGTCTAACTGAGAGGTCTCTAGACATCAAACATCGATGGGGTCCACGGAAACCAACCCAATAAGTCAAACGATCACTTGTGTCGTACCTGTAAAGGATGGGTTTGAACCAAGTGAAGCATCGCGTCCCGCGGGGGTAGTAGGTAGGTAGGTAGGTATTGTATCGACCGTAGGAACATACGACTTAATTTAACGCATTGATTGTTTCTAATATATAGGTACTACCTACTTAGTGAAGAGGTAGGAGAGAGATCGCAACGATATCCCCTTTCCATTCATTCTAGCCTACTTCCGGAATAAGTTTCCTTGTTTGCTCAATCACGGCCTCCGGGGCCGAAGTCTAATTCTTCATAGTATCGATAGATTCCCATTGAGTAGTCCTGTCTTCTCTTGCTAGCCAAGTAATCATTGATCCTTGGTCGCTCCTTAACTGCGCTGTACAGCTTGAAGACATGTGCATACTTTCCCGACTTTTCGGCGGCGGCTACAGCCTTCCTGAAGGCAAATTTAGTTCCGTCGATGCACTATTATATGTCAGAATATCCTCACAGTCCGAGAAGACCAATGATACCCCGTAGAAGAGAATGTAGAGACGGGCTTACCTGAAACAACACTGCGAGAACGAGTCAGTAATTTCTTCTCGTAGAAAGGGGTTCCGGTGATTTAGGTGTGTATTCGGGGGGGGGGGGGGGGGGGGGGCAACACCTTATTTAACAAAATTAATAAAAAACCAATACAGGCAATAAAGAAAGGGGGGGGTGAGAAAGATTTAAAAAACAAACCAAAGAGGGCGTAATT